GTCCTCAGCAAGCTCAGAAAATTAACTTGTTTAAAAGTAGAAAGAGTTGAACACAGGTAAAGTTTCATACTCATATCCTCCACAAACACAACACATGAATATGAAAATGTATGCACAACACAAATCTCTCTCTGTTTTTGGTTTTTAAGACAGGGTTTCTCTGTGTAATAGCCCTGGCTGTCCTGGAACTCTCTCTGTAGACCAGGCTGGGCCTGGAACTCAGACATCTGCCTGCCTCTGCCTCTCTTGTGCTAGGATTAAAGGTGTGCACCACCACACCCAGCCATACATTTCCTTTTAAGCAGTTTTGATTATCCAGTCTATCTAAAAGGTTGTCAGAGAAGTCCAAGTTGTATCTGAACTCTTCTCAGGCAAGAGGGACAGCCACCTCCTAGCTTGACCACTTCAGGCCTGGAACAATCCCTGGGATTTACATTCTTTGCTTTTACACTTCAGGCCACTGATGACACTGGATAAATCTTTATGCCTTGAAACAGGGGAGTGATGTTTTCCTGAAGGTCACTTAAAAAAATAGTATCCCATCTTACAATCTCTTTTCAGCCATCTGTCCCCCACTCTGGCAACTCAATCTCCCTTTCTCCCCATCTACCTTGTCCCTCAGGTAAACAGAGCTCTCATGCCCACCTGTCCACTTGGCTGACAGCCAAGGTGAGTCTTCCTGCTCTTCCTGACTGGCAGTGTGGTGAGTCTGGACAATAGCTCACCAAGTCAGAGAGGCAAGACAAAGAACTTTCACTCCAAGTTCCTTTTCTAATTTGTTTATCCCACCATCAAAGACTGCAAGAGTACAGATAGGAGAGTGAAGAAACCACTCATTTAAATTAGAGAGCCAACTTCTCAGTATTGTAAATGATTGCGAGACGTCCTAAGGTCAGATATCATGACTTCAGAATCTGCATGTTTAGCACAGGGTCGTTCCAACGCAGATGCAAAGCGCTGTTCAGAGGGTAAAGCCAGTGCAGCTTGGGTGGGTTCCTCCAATCTCCTCTATCTCTCCATATCCCCTCGGCAACACCAACACTGCAGACATCAGAGATGGAAGCCCCCCATCCCACTCCCACAGGATACCCAGTAACCTGATCTCACAAACATGCAGGGCAGAAGGAGGGAGAAAAACCTGCCCACATTAGAAAGAGATCCTTCAACTTCACTAACCCTCGCACAATGTTAGCCATTTTATGTGTGTTAAGAACACTGTATTCCTAGGCTCTAAGACGAAGCCTTTCAGGTTAAATGGAGAAAGGAGACTTTCCACACTGATCTCTGCTCGCCACCTCACTACCGTAGGGATATGGAAAAGTGTGTGAGTGTAGGCGGGGTCGGGGGAGTGTGAGTATCACAATACATGGAGTCAGAGGACAGCTTTGTGGAGTTGGACTGCCAGGCTTTCCTGGTAAGGACCTTAATCCTGAGTCATCTTTAGGGGAATAAAAACGTTCTTAAGTTTGATTTTTTTTTTTTTTTGTCGTTCTGACACAGGGCCTCTCTGTTATGCAGCTCTGGTTCTCCTGGAACTCTATGTAGATCAGGCTGTCCTGGAACTCACAGATACCTACCTGCTGGGATTAAAGGCTTACACCACCACACCTGGCTTTTTAAAGGTAGATCTTTATATACAGGCAAACAAGAACATAAACTTTGCCAAAACCAAAGTTTTTAAGAATACATGAAAACCAATTAGTTCTTAACCTACTAAAGTCACACATGAAGTTAACTTGAAAACAGATCTGCCTGCTTTTCCATGGGTGAATTTTCCAGGGACTAAGCCAGACTTTACAGAATACATTACAATGTGGATGAACAAAGCCAGGGAGCTTTAGCTGGCCTGGTAAGCCACTCAGAACCACCAGAGAGCAGATAATTCACCGCCGCTCAAGACTCCAGTTCTAGACCTAAATGTGCTGGCAACCTTAAGATCCTGTTTCTAGGTAGAAAAAAACAAACAAACAAACAAACAAAGGAAACCACCAAGAACAAAGCTCTCCAGTCGGTGGGTGTTGAAAGGACTTCGCACAGTAAATCAACAGGCTGCTGTCCTGTTTTCTCCACAGCCAGACTGAAATAATACAGCCCCAGCAGAGGTGTGAATTACCCCCATTCATCTTAATGGAGTGTTAACTTCAAAGGCTTGTTTTAACCATTTAAATGCTAAGCTCATGAGTAAACATTGTTAAGGAAAAAAAGTACAACTTAAACATTCACTCTGAACATATGAAAGTAATTTACGGTCTTGGCATTTTGTCTTTTAATTTAGCAAATAACTCTCCAAATGTTAGAAAAGTGTGTATTTTGTGCATTTCTTAGTTTTAATTTAAATAGTTATTACCTAATAAATTATGACCATTAAGCCCATAAGGAGAAAGCCCAGATTTCCCAGAAAAAAAATGCTGGGAGTACTTGGACAAGGTTATGAAGGGGCCATGGCTCTTACCAGCCTTCTCATCGACTTCCTTGAAATTTACAGAAAATGTGACCTCAAACAGGCAACCAGGCAAGACAGGATGTTAAAGTCAAACTGACCACCACCGCCAGCTATTTTTTTTTTTTGATAGTAACTCAATTTTGTGCAGTGTTACAAAGGGTATTTGTTTCTTGCCAAACCTCTCAGGGCACCAGCTTAAGAACAGGTGACAAACGTATTAATTGATGCCCAGCTGTCACCACGCTTAACATTTGCCCCTGGGGGCATCCTTGCATCTGTTGTAGATTTAGGGTTATTTTGGTATTACCAGAGTTAAGATTTATTTAAGCAGCTGAACACCTATGAGCATTATTTCATAAACAGAAGAGTAGGTACAAGTAGCAGAGTCGGTGAGTTCCAGTGTGAGGCGGAAAGAGAGGCCGCGTTTGCTGTGCTATGGCATGCTAAGTGATGAGAAGCACTGCAGAAGGAGAAGCACACAGCTGGCAGGGAACTGTGGGAAAGTACTAACCTCTGCTTCCGGTGCCAGCTCCTGGGGAGTGAAGGTCAAAGTTATGCAAGCAGAAGATGAAAACTCCAAGACTTCGTTCCATGCCCTTGGGTAAAAACCATTTCATTGTACTGCTCCAGATAAGGGATCAGACAGAGAAACAGGACAAAACATCTAGTAAGAAAGCCTAGTTGTTCTGCATCTAATTTATCAAAGGCGATTTAATCCTCCCAATAGTCATGAAAATGGGTATTCATTCCCTTGCATGGAATTGAAAGTAGAGGCTCAGGGGTTAAGAGTTGAATGATTTCCTTAAGACTTGAATCCAGCTCTTCCCAACCCGAAGTGTGTGGCCTTTCCATTGTACTCAGAGCTCTCAAGTTGCCAGCGTTCCCTTTGATCTTTTTTAAAAGAGAGCTCTGTTGCAAACTTTCAGCCTCTTTCCTAAGTGGGAGGCAAGAGGACACCTGCAAAAGTGTGTGTTTCCATATATGCAAATCATCACTTTGCATGAAACTCTCCATTTTACAAGTCAACTGCTGCAGGATTAAAAAAATTATTTTATGTGCATTGGCACTTTGACCATGGGTGCTGGATCCCCTGGAACTGGAATTACAGACAGTTGTGAGCTGTCATATGGGTGCTGGGAATTGAACCTGGGTCCTCAGGAACTGGGTACTCTTAACCACTGAGTCATCTCTCTAGTCCCTGCTGCAGAAGTTTTAACTTAGGTGTCCTGGCTGTGGCAGGCTGCCAGACATGGGACCCTTTACACTGAATCTTCTTGGCAGAGGAGTCCCAGGTTCATGTTTCCAACTGGGAATCATGTCAATGGTCAGAAAGCAATGTACAATTTCTAAACATGAGACAGATCATCACTATGCATGTTTTCTAGGAATAATGTTACATATTACAGTCACAAACTGAGAAGGTTTGGAGAGCTTTCAGACTCATAAGCTACAGGAAAATATCAGGTAAGACTGTGGAGAAGGGCCGTACCCAGTAGAGAAATTCCAGTTTCTGACGGACACTAATATTAACCCATACTGAGAATCAATTTTGTATATAAATGTAATACACTGGCTTCGTAGAAAAAGAAAAACTGCTTCTTTATATATTGTGGGGAGGCAGATCAACTTAAGACAGAGGCCCTCCTGAGAGGACAATGGCAGTTTTAGCTCTATGTCCTTGCCTAGGAGCAGTCTTGGCAAAGCCTGTCCAGAGCTGGACAGTTTCTGGGATGACTCTTCCCCCTGGGCTGTGGTTATTAGTCCTTGGGCAGCTGTACCTGAGGTATCCCACATTCTTTGCTAACATGTCTGGCTTAGCTGTCTGCTGACCTGACCTTGCCCCACTTGCTTCCTGGCAAACAGTATATATGAGGCTGCACTTCATAATAAACCAGATTGGCTTGGCATACGCCATCAGCTTGGGCAAAACCTTTTGGTCCCTGCTATTGCTTTTTGTCTCACTCACTTCTCATCTTCGTTATTTACCATCCCTGGTCCTTTCTCTCAATACCTCACTACTGCTACAATATATATTGCAATCTTTAATTCTATGTGTATGGATATTTTACATGCATGTATGTCTACGTATCACATGTGTGCTTTATGGCTGCAGAGGCCAGAAGACGGTGTTGACTCCCCTGGTTGTCAACTGCCATGTGGGTGCTGGGAATTGAATCTGAGTCCTACGGAAGAGCAATGAGTGCTCTTATCTGTTGAGCCATCTTTCCAGCCCCTGATTCTTTATATTTAAAAAAATGTTTCCCTGTGGAAAAGCTTGTTAGAAAAAGTGGTGGTGCATGCCTTTAATCCCAGCACTCGGGGAGGTAGAAGCCAGTGGATTTCTGTGAGTTTGAGGCCAGCCTGGTCTACAGAACTAGTGAGAAACCTTGTCTCAAACCTTCCCCCCCAAAAAACCCCACAAAAGTATCCAAGGGCTTTGGAAGAGTTTGGCGGTTTCTTAGAAAACAAAACATACATTTACAATGGACCAAGTGTTCCTTCCTATTGAATGCCCCCCCACTGAAAACATGATCATGTAAAAACCTGCACACACACATTTTTAGTTTTAGCACCTTTATTGATAGTTGGCAAAACTTGGAAGAAGTAGGAAGGTCTTCTAAGAGGTGAGTGGATCAACAAGCTTGATATGTCCCTATAACTGGATATTATTCAGTATTAAAAGGAAACAAGCTATTAAATAAAAAGTCAGTCTGAAAATGACACAGGGTCCTACAAGATCCCAGCCATGGCCTTCTGGTAAAAAGATCAGTGGAGACGAAGAACAAGGCCTTTAGCATTCCTAGGTATAACATGTGCTATACTGACACAGGCGTTCATATCAGGGAAAGCTAGAGGTCAGGGTAGGAAGTCACAGGGAACCCCTTATTTCATTCACTCCATAAAACAATAAAGGCTACTTATTTTTTTTAAGTCACAAATGGCAGGTATGTGCCAGGATGGTGGCGCACACCTTTAACACCAGCACTTGTGAAGCAGCAGCAGGCAGATAGCTGTAAGTTCAAGGCCAGCCTGGACAATACAGCGAGATTCTGTCTCAAAAACAAAACAAAACTCCCACACAAAACAGTAATTCAATATATTTAAGAACAACGTTCTGAGTATTTCTAATTTTTGGTAAAAATTAAAATGATTAAATTCCTACTTTCTGGTGTATATTGCTGCTCTTTTTCGCTTTTCTGGTAATAATTTTCCTGAGTATAATTTTCATATTCAGTGCCTTCCAGAATGATTCCTTCTTACTGACAGAGGTAAATTATTCTTTGTAATAGAAAATTATTTTATTTATTGTTGACCCAGTCAAAAATGATGAGTGCTAAACTGAAGCTCCCAACCGAGGCACCAGTGATGAGCAGGAACAAGGCCTGTGGAGACAAAGGACACAGTGAGGCAAGCCCCCGCCCTTCTCTGCAGTGCAGCTCAGGCTCCTCTCAAATACCCAGCAATCCTCCTGCCTCAGCCTCCCCAGAGCTGGAATGACAGGCGTGAGCATCATGCCCGATCCAAAATGTACTTTACATATTAAGGTACATATTGACTTCTTAGACATAGACACAGTCACAAAAAAATGACAAACTAGTTCTTCAGATGAAAGAGTTGAAAACAACCTACCCCAAGCTTTTTCCATGAGAGAATATCCTCTCTGCTGAGTTTTAGATAAAATAATCCTGGGAACACAAAAATCAAGCATGTTGAAGTGCTGGCACCTACAAGGTAGAGGAGAAAAACAAGACACCGTTGGATTCAGCTGTGAGAGCAAAGATTTTATTATCCCTTTTATTTCTGCAGAGCTAGAAATCAAATCTAAGAAGTCTACAACTGAGACACCCTCCCCTGTCCCTTTTATTACATGATTTTTTAAAAATGGAAACTTACCAACTACACCAAATACATTCCTAATGTCAGGAACATACATTGCAAGTAAAACAATGATAACATTGAGCGCTAACGTGGTCAGAGAATGCCGAATCCATGAAAATGGAAAATTTGAGAAAAGTAACATCATTAAAGCTTTTCTGGCCTGTGTAACAGAAAAAAGAGTCAGGCAAAATGGAAGGATCAAAGGCATAGCATTTTCTTAGAGAAACACATGTATAGTAACCATAATATTTTTATCCCAGATCATTTATATTCCCCAGACACAGCATAAACTATCATTATGCAGTGTTTTTACACACAGAAACCTTTCTGAGTAAGCTTCATAAAAATTATTTTGCTTGAATTCCACACAAAAGTTTCACAGGCGATTTTTTTAGATTCTGTAATTCGAAAAATTACAAGAAATAACAGTGTGTTATGAAATCACAAAGAACAATTTTCATTAAATTCAATAGATAAACAAACTTCCAAGTGGAAAAAAATAAACCATGGCATGGAAAAGAAATACCATTCTGTTTTATTTCTGTTATCTCTTCTATGGCATGTAAATACAAAAAAAAAAAAAAAAAAAGGTTCCTGCATCTTCTATTGCTAGGGTGGGCAGGCCACTGGCAACCACAGCCCACAAGGACCCCTGGTCCTCCAGTATCACAGGGAGGAGCAAGAATTCTGGAAGGTCCTGGTCTTTAGACACACGAGTTCAAAATGCCTGGGCAGAAGCATTTCTACCCATTGCCATTGTTTTCATTTTCATGGAAATTCTTCAGATTCTTATGTGTGTAGCGACTGGATACAGAATGGAAATCTGTTCCCCCTCTTAAATTCTAGAACAAGTACAAAGCCTAAGCATGAACTCCCTGTGGGAAGCAACCTGTCACAGGACAAGAGGGGCTTGTTTCTGCTGATGCGACTGCTTTGCTTTGTGCATATTCTTTTGAAAGCTGAACACAGAAAGACATGCCCCCCCCCAAAAAAAAACCACTTTAGAACTATAGTCTCCAAATTGGAAACAAAACTGAGGGAGAGGTAAATCTAAACTAAATCTCAGCAAGCACAAATTAGCTTCGAGGTTCACTGTTATTTTTGGGCTTTCATGGAACCATATGCTAGTATGAGGTCTTGGATCAATTACTTGACAAATGAATAAGACACACAAGACTAGCAGTGATTCAAAGGTTCTGGTCTGCAGAGAATTAGTGTTGCCATCCTTGGGAGTCAGGACACTAAGCAACAAAATCTTTAGGCATACTCACAGGGAAGTGGATCAGAGGGACCGTCAGAAGCACTGCAAACAGTATGCATAGCTTCACCGCCATGACAACACCATCATGTGGCAAGTATTTACTATAACCTTGTAGTAATTCTGACTCCACTTTGTCTGTAAATAAATTAAAACAACAACAGCAGCGGCAATCAGAGTCGCATTATAAACTATTCACCACTATATCAATAGTAGCAAAATTATTTTCTTTTGGCTTATTACATCATAGTAGGCTTGGATTCCATTCTGAAATTCATTTTTTTTAAAGATTGATTTATTATGTATACAGTATTCTGTCTGCACGTATGTCTTCAGGCCAGAAGAGGGCACCAGATTTCATTACAGACGGTTGTGAACCACCATGTGGTTGCTGGGAATTGAACTCAGGACCTCTGGAACAACTGTCAGTGCTCTTAATCCCTAAGCCATCTCTGCAGCCCCTGAAATTCATTTCTGACCCCTTTCTCTCTGCTACTCAGTATTTTCCTGAGATGTACACTTCTCTCTACAATGTATTACATTTATTTACTTATTTGGGTGTGTCTGTGCCATTGCACACAAAAGGAGCTCAGAGGACAACTTGCAACAGTTGAGTCTCTTCTTCTACCCTGTGTGCCCTGAGAATCAAACTTAGGCCACTGGGCTTGGTGGCAAGTGCTTTACCTGTTGAGACATCTGCCAGCCCATGTCAACTCTTTTGTGTTCTTTAAGAAACTTTAAACCAGGACACACAAAGTCTTCAAAATTAGGACAAAAAAACCCCTGTATTTAAAGTGTCTCCTTAACCAGGTGTGATGGGGCATGGCTTTTATCAAAGCAATGGGAAGACAGAGGCAGATGAATCTTTGTGAGTTTGAGGCTAGCCTGGTCTACCTAGCATGTTCCAAGCCAGTGAGGCCCTGTCACAAAAACAACAAAATAAAACAAAACACACACCAAAGCAAAACTCCTTAGAACTTGTCCATAAGTTTAACGAAAGTGTCTGTAAAGTACTTGCATGTAATACTGCTAAGCTTGGTCACCGTGGCAACGAGAGGTAGGCTCACAAATGCCAGGCAGTTTGCCCGAGAACACGTAGCAGGGGGGCGGAGCAGAGCATCCCACACTTTTGTGATAGCCTTCCCTCCATACCAGCGTTTTCTCATATTTCAGCGTTCTGTGCAATACTGTACTTTCAGGGGTTGTCTCTATAGTCTGCATGGTGTTTCGTGCACACTATCAGTTTTGTCCGTCTCCATCTTGCATATGAGAAAATGAAGCTCTAAGAAAATAGCATCTTTATTCAGGACAGAGAGAGACAGGACTGAGAGATGCCAACCCTGCTTTCCATTCACATGGTTTCCCTCACCCAGGTCCTGTGAGAAAGAAAGAAATGAGGGCACTCACATCACACCTCAAGACCTAAGGACAAAGATGAGTTTGAACTTAAAATGCAATGGGGCTTTTTCATTTCAGAGAATAGGGTTTTAGAAATAAGACGATCACATTTCAAAAATACAAAAATTGAAGGAAATATAACGCCTCTGCTTTTCTAAGTTTTAAGAGATAAGAGGACTCCCTAAAAACACAACAGAAAGTCTATACACCATGAACAAATCTGATTCTACAGTGAGATGACAATGCACATTCAAATCCCACTACCGACTAGCAAGTTCTCTGGTCTTAGTCCCTATGTCTTCACATGACAATAGTTCATGGACTTCAACAGCTACTGAACGCACGGAATGATAGATATGTGTGCTGCCATTCGAAGTCATGGAGGATTGTCTTGACTAGCATAGTTAAGGTAGATTCAGTGTGGGTGATATTATTCCATGGGCCAGGATCCTCGACTGTCTGAAAAGGAGAATGGACAGACCTCATTACTCCTGATTCTTCTGACAATGCCCCCCCCTCGCCATGATGGACTGAATCCGTGAACTGGGAGCCATAATAAACCCTTCCTCCTTCAGGGTGCTTTGTGCCCCAGGTACTTTGTTGCAGCAATGCGGAACAGAGAGGAGTGTATTGTGAGCCAAATTACTCACAAGTACAGAGTGGAAAGAAAATACCAGAAACAAAAAACAGAAAGTAATGGCTATAATCACTAAAGTAATGAGGCTCTGAGCTAGGCTAGTCATCATTGGCACAGGAGAGAAACAAAATTGTCTACAGTGCTACAGACAAAATTACACAATGAAGAATGGGACTAGGTAGGAAAACTGGGAGGAACCAAGAAATCTGGATTCTATTTCCAAATCTGGGAGATACTTGGGAGTCTTTGGAGAAATATGGCAAACTATTTTATTTCCATTTTCTGAATCATAAAATGGGCTATTAACACTTCTTGTTTAACAACCTCACAGACATTAAAATGGTCTGGTTACCCAATGTTTGGGCACCAGCCTGGCTCACCAGAGGGATGCTTTTCCTCTTTAACATCTGTGATTAGAACCAATATTATAATGTAGGTTGATACTTACAGATCCCTTTAATCTGACAGAAGTCTGATATTAACTAAACGTTGAGAGTCTGGGGTAAAGATTCCAATCAGCTCCAGAGTATTAAGAACTACATTTACTAGAAACACCACTTCCCCAGGGAGAAAAACTTCTGAGCCAGCCTTCCTCTATTCTTAGCCAAGCCTTAACATATGTAAGGATCAATTACAGCACACTTATTTGGACTCAGAAAAAGCTTCACAAATTCAAGAAGGGACCCGATGGTGATTTTTGCAAGTCATTTGCACCACTGCCGTCACGTGGCTTAAGACACTGAGGAAGATTTCCGTAAAGTCGCAGCAAGAAAACTGGCTTGCATGCAGAAAGATGCCTTTAATTCCAGGCCACTTTGCCTCTCTGGGATAACACTGCTAACCTGAAAAGATGAATGACAAGCTTGAACTTCAGGCTAGGTCTACCAAACCAACAATTTCCTGCTGTCAGACAGCTCTGACTACACCATTTGAAAGTCACAGTACAAGGCATTTCCTGATTACAATTAACAATGGGGGAAAAAAAAGAGAGAAAGAACTACTACAAGGAACAAATTATTACTCCTGCCCTCTACCTTTAGGAGGGCGTTGTCACCCATCTGTCACCCACTGTGTGATCCCATCGGCTGTTCATTCCTTCAGTACACAGCATCTGAACGCACAGGGGCTACAGAGGAGGGCTAAGTTAGAGGTACCTGACAGCTTCACTTGGCAACATGGCAAATCCCTGTCTAGGAAACACTTCATCTGATAATGAAAATAACAGTGAATGGATGTCAGACAGACATATGACAGGGACTTAGATAAGCCACGGTTTCTTAAAGTTCACTTTAATTAGAAGCTAGAACAAAGCAGTATGGCCTGGGTTTTATGGGTTTTTTTGAGGTGGGACAGTGTTGAAAGCACTGGATTTGGAAAAGGAAGAAACAGAACCCGAGAGCTTCTGTTCCATCTGTCTCTGGAGGTAGTGGCCTCATTACTCATCTAAACATCTGAGTTGCTGGGTGGCAGGCATTGCGCTCGGCCTGGGCAGCATGCTTTTCTGGATGATACACACAGAACTCCACTACTCTCGCCCTGCAGCAGGATCAAATGCAAGCACAAACTTCGATGAGTAGGATTGCCTTGCTACTGTTGAAATAACAGACATACAGAACCACTGTAATTGTGTCACATGCTGATAACACCTAGATAACAGAGCACATACTGAAAAGCTGTCATACAGAAGAGGGGCTGGGGAGAGGGTTCAGTTGGTACAATGGTTGCCTTGCAGCTATGAGGATCTGAGTTCGATCCCTAGAATCCATCTTTAAAAAATCTGCGTGTGGTTGGTATGCTGTAGAATAATCCTGTACACTGTGAAACTGTATTCCTCTGATTGTTAATAAAAAGCTGAGTAGTCATTAGCTAGGCTAGATTTTGGGGCAGAGAGCATGCTGGGACGAAGAGGGTGGAGTCAGAGAAGTCGCCAGGAGAGAGAGGGAGCAGGAGATGAACATGCCACGCTAATAAAGGTACCGCCACATGGTAGAGCATAAAGAAGAAATATGGGCCAATTTAAATAATAAAAGTTAGCAAGCAACAAGTCTGAGCAATTGGCTGAGCATCAATCAATATTGATTTGCTGTGGCTATACAGGAGTGACTGCCAGGACACAGAAAATCTCTGCCTATAAACACAGTGATGGGGAGGCAGACAGGTGGCGTCCCTGCAGCTTGCTGACCAGCCAACCCAAAAGCCTACTTGTAAATTTCAGGTCCAGTAAAGACCCTGTCTCAAAAACCAAACCAAAACAAACAAAAAACAGGGTGGAAGGCTCCTGAAGAGTGACACCCGAGCTTGTCCTCTGACCTTCACCCTCACAGGTGCACACATGTACCTGTGCATATATACTACACACGTAAGGATAATTAGAAGCATAGTGCCGAAGTAAGGGACACATATAACTATAAAGAGTCCTCATTTGAGAAGGACTACTACGTGCCAAATACTATAGCAGAATTTTATATAGAATTCATTTCTGCCTCACTATAATCTATGCAGTTATAGATTGGGAGCTGAAGATGCTTCGATGTAGAGGCTCCCCTCAAGGTCACAGAGCTAGTTAGGGAATGGCAGTTAGTTAAATGACCAGATTTGTTGGATTTCAAAACCGGTATTGTTCTCAAAGGGCCTAGGCAATGTGGTGGTATAAGAAAACATTGTCTAAAGACTTGCAGCTTGGAGAAACTGGGAGAAAAGTATTAATAAAGTTCACAGCTGGTGACCACTGAAGTCTCAAACTTGAAAGGTGTACAAAGCCATCAACCAGGTCACCAACGGCTGAGCACCCCAAGTAGTATCAGCCATTCACTCGCAGTCACTATAAAAACATTTATAAGCTGAAGAATACATTCAAAACTGGGCGTGTTGAACAGTATGTGCTATGATGTGATTGTTTGCAATTTTTGCTCATATTTTCTTTCTTTTTCTAGACTTTGTTTTTGTTCTTGACATTCTTGTTGAAAGAGGAAAAAAACCCCAATAAACCATGCAGGAAACATTTCCAAAATAAATAAAAGAGAATTTGCTCATGTTTTATAAGTCTACACGTGTCTTTAAGAAACTTAAAGAGAAAGGCCCTCATGCAGCAGAGGCAGTGATGCCTTACACACATGCTGTATAGATTCAGATGGAGGCAGTGATGCCTTACATACATGCTATATAGATTCAGATGGAGGCAGTGATGTTTTATACACATGCTACATAGATTCAGATGGAGGCAGTGATGCCTTACGCACATGCTATGTAGATTCAGATGGAGGCAGTGACGTCTTACACAAATGCTATATAGATGCAGCAGAGGCAGTGATGCCTTACATACATGCTATATAGATTCAGATGGAGGCAGGATGCCTTACACACATGCTATATAGATGCAGCAGAGGCAGTGATGCCTTACATACATGCTATGTAGATTCAGATGGAGGCAGTGACGTCTTACACAAATGCTATATAGATGCAGCAGAGGCAGTGATGCCTTACATACATGCTATATAGATTCAGATGGAGGCAGGATGCCTTACACACATGCTATATAGATTCAGATGGAGGCAGTGATGCCTTACGCACCTGCTGTATAGATTCAGATGGAGACAGTGATGCCTTACACACATGCTATATAGATGCAGCAGAGGCAGTGATGCCCAGCATCTGTGTGCTGTACTACCATTTGCTTCCTGAATTGCTCTTTTGTAATTATTGAGGTGGTTTACTCTCTTAACCTGTAAGTTTATCATCTAGAGTCTAACATACTGAATATGTACGTTTTTTTTTTCATTTTTTTGAGACAGGGTCTCACTATGTAGCTCTGGGTATCTTGGAACTCACTATGTAGACCTGTCTGATCCTGAATTCAGAGATCCACCTGCCTTTGCCTCCTAAGTGTTGGGATTAAAGGTGTGCATCACCGTGCCTGACTTTGTTTTTTTTATTTTTATTTTTTTAAAAATTTTTTTGTTTTTTTTTTTTTACGAGACAGGGTTTCTCTGTATTGTTTTGGAGGCTGTTGGTCCAGACTAGCCTCAAACTCACAGAGATCCGCCTGCCTCTGCCTCCCGAGTGCTGGGATTAAAGGCGTGCGCCACCACCGCCTGGCCGTGCCTGACTTTGGATGTGTAATTTTAAAAGATCCAAATTGTTATTTTATTGAGATATTAATATGTTTGAAATTTTACATAAAAGTCTAAGAAAAATTTTAGGGGCTAGAGAGATGGCTTAGCCGTTAAGGATGTGTAGCACTCACACAGAGAACAGGAATTTGACACTCAAGTTGGAGGGGACACAGCCACCTGTTTCTGGGGTAATTCCAGCTTCCTGGGTCTGATGCCCTCTTCAGGCCTCCACAGGTACTCCAGTCACATGCACAAACTCACACTTAGACACATACATACATGCACACACACATACATAAAAATAAACATCTAAAAAGGGGGAAAACTTTCCCGTGAAGTCATCACTCTCAAGTCTGACTCACCTTTGTCAGAGGAAGGGAGTAACAAAGTCACTGCAGTGCTGACAGTGGCCTGACAGATGAACTTACTAGGGAAAGGTAGAAAGAATGGCCACGGCGGGTGTGACGTCACCCGTGCTTCCTTCATCACCTATAGTTAAGAATATACTCACCATAGAAAGTGAGGTATCCGAAGAGTGCAGACACAAAGTAAAGCAGGAAGCTTAAAGCGATCGCTGTATTGGTCACATTCTGCATCCTCTTCTTCGAGGGGCTGAAACACAAGAACCAGCAAGAGTTGGTAAAGCCAGCGATCCGAGTCACATCTGGAGAGACAAGCATCTCTCAGGCTGGTCAGGACTTTTCAGACAAGCATGAGTTCATCCGTAACTACACATTAGAGTTCACAAGTGTCCACTCACTGAAAAGAGGGTGCCACTGGCAACAGTCCCAATGAGGACAGAAGTGGCCCTTGTTTGCCTTGTCTGTTTTTTAACTAACACTTCTTAGAATTCAGGACAACAGAGAAGAACTCGTAAGTGAGAATGAAATTCAATCAGCAAGCCCCCGAGGTAAATGCACATTTCCAGAAATCTACAGTACCTTTGAAGCTCACAGTAAATGGGCAATATTGAGGTATGGCAGAGAAATGAAAATGCCATGGTTGGTATGGCATAAATACTCTGAAAAAAAATTTAGAAGACAAAGTCATTAAATGCTACTCCATTTTTATTTGACTTGGTTCTGTTTTAATTACACCTTAAAAAATGTGTATGTGTGTGCCCACATACCTATGCCACTTAGAAATTGTAAGGGTCAGTGGAAAACTCGTGGGAGTCAGTATTCTCCTTCTACATGTGAGTCCCAGTGAGTAGAGCTTGGTAGCAGGCGCCCAACAATACAAATGACCACCTTGCCGGCCCAACAATAAAGTTCTTTTAAAAGCAACCTGGTTGAATTTATTTCATCTTTTATGAATGACCTCTTTATAAAACGTTTGAGAGGGATGTGTGTGCGGGGAAGTAGGTGTGTGGGGAGCTCTACAGGTAGCAGTGAACACTGTAGCTTCCAGGTAGGTGGCGTGCTTATTCTGACCTCAACAGTTTCTGGCTGCCTCTCATATCATGTTGCTTTATTACAATCACCATCTTCTACAGTATTTAGATAAGATAGAAATAATTTAGGTAACATATAAACAGCTACCTCTAAGGACATTTTATTATAATTGCCAGTCATTCTTAAGGTATGCACAATTTAGATACATCTCATTACCCCAAGTGGCAACAACGCTTGAATCTGCTTTTACTTACTCAGTGCAAGTAAGGACTAAAAATAGAAACCACATCTTTGTGGTGCCAGAATCTTTGACCAAGATCCTTTTTAATGAACACAAAGATCATTAATTCTAGACCTGAAAAACTCCGTGGGATCCCATGTAATACATAAACCTATAGTTCTTTAAAAATTATTATTAGAATACTTTACAAGAGCCAGAGAAAACTAGCAAGCCAAAAAGTTACCCTGTAAATTAAATTACTGTCTTTAACAAATGGATGGCAATGATTTCTCTTTTCTGGTCTAAAAATATTTTTCCTTTGCTAGCATTAGGCTATTCACCAAAAGAACTTCCAGATGAAGACCTACTTTGGAGTACAGTACCTAGGAAGTTGTGTTCCCTGAAGCTGTGTTAGGGGAATTAGAGTTGAAGTCACGAATTCTGTTTCATATGTTGCTCAATTTCCCAGCTTGTCAATTACTCTACCTAGATCTTTAAGGCCTGTGGAGGTCTTTACCATGTGAAAGATGTGGTAACCTCCTTTGTGAGGATTGAGAGACATTTCTTAGAAACTGGGGATAAAAAGGAAAGTTTTGCATGGAGGACTAACCACATTAACATTCTATACTAATAAAGCCGTGCAGTGAGCCTAGTGTCTGGGGCCTACAAAACAGCATTCCAGCAGAAATACAAAGAGGGGAGGGAAGAAGCTCCCAGAAACAGGAAGGCAGCTTTTCCACTGGAGGGAATGCAGGGACCGTGCAGACAGCAGCTCCTGTCTCTGTTCATGCCCAGGGGCTCTTCCAGGCATTTTCAGGGTTCTACAGCTTTCTTAGAGTGGGCATGGGACCTGGTCTTCTGGTCTCTGCTCTGAGCATCATAAATTCCCTCTTGGAATGCTGTTCAGGAGCAGTATGGCAGTGCTCAACTGCTAGTCCAATGATGAGGCTGTTTAGCTAGAGACCAAAGTCCTCACAGGGGAGGACTTTCTGATGTAATTGGCGATTTAGCTTTACAAGTCCAGAGCGCAACAGGAAAACTGTATCCACAGAGGACCTCACTGGCCAGACCAGACATTTGGTAAATCTGTTCTTTTAGGCAGTGGCCCATTTAAAACAGGCACCATTTAAAGGCATGCCAAAAGAAAGAAAAGAAAAAGGTGGCTGTTTCATAATGGGCCACCCTGTGTTAAATAATATTATTCTTCTGGTAGGCAATCCTATACTTAGCACTTTCATGAAAATTAATTAGGTACAGGTATAAAGACCTAAGAGACCCTGTTACACAAATCTCTTAAAACTTGAAATGTGAAAAATCAGCCGAAAGTATCTGTTAATAAGTTACACACCTCTTTGGAGAAATGAAAGAGCTTTGGTTTACAGTCATCTGTAGCATTTGAAATCTGTTTAAGAGTATTGAGGGGAAAAGAGAAACCAATAGCGATTAAAAGTCAGAATACAGCAACAAATACAATGAATTTATTACTACTACACTTTCAAATCAAATTACTTCAAAGCAAAGTTCTAAAATAAAATGTAATAATTTCTTTTTCATTAATTAGAAAAAGGGTAATCATTTACCTCCCATTTCTTTTTTAGCTGAAAAGTTAAAAATAAAAGAACCTAAAAATGATCACCTGGAATACTCCATCGATGCACTTTAAGGTCAAAGGACAAGGGATGGACCATTTTTTAACTACTACCTGTAAAAGTAGAACAACCAACACTCACATGATTTGTAGTAGAAGTCATCACAAGTTGATCTCAACCAGGACAGTGTTTAAGTAATGCTAAATAGGAGGCTAACAGATGAATCCTTGCCCAGGTAGAATGGGGCCACCCTTTAACATGGTCACTGGGTGGCGAGGGAGGGGCCCAGGGTGCCTTACTGATGGGGGGGGTCTTGCTTATGAAAGACACAGTGTGCTCTTGTGTCAGTTTTCCACAACTCCAGCAGTACCCTGCTTTTTTGTTCGCTTGTTTTTTAAAGCGCAACTCCAGAAGGAGGTGTGTTTTCCACGATGACTGCACAGAGTATGTCGGGCACAGCAAGCAGATGGGCTGGGACTCTAATACAGAGCGTGACCTGATACACAGCCGCTTTCGCCTCTTCACGTTTGTGTGGTCAGCGTGGAGAGAGCTGGCTAGAATCTGAGCACAGAACTAGGGGACTCCAGCTGGTAGAAATAAATGTTAAAAAAAAAATTAAAAAGAAGCCCAGAGGGATGGCGTTTCCCAGAAACCATCAATGAACATGTTTCAGGACTTGACTCTTAATTGTGGCCATCCTGTTCCTAGAGCCACAGTTGTGGCTGTGTCAACACTGCCATTGTAGCCCTTGTTGCAGGCACATAATTACTCTGTAAATATTTGCTTCAGGCTAAATCCCAGCATACAAAGGGGCAGAGAGAAGAAAGGAAGTATTTGTCTTTGCAGGAGACCAGTAAGTAAATACTATTCCTATTTGGAACTTATCTAGTTTGGGATTTAACAAATTCAATCAAAATTTTATACAGTGATAAATCTAAAGAAAACACACACTTTTAGGATAAAGTTAATGAGCTAACCCGAGTCACCTTTAATTTAAAATCTCACCCAAAAGGGTTTGGGAATGTCTAAGGACAAACTGGGTATTTGCAGGTTAAGTTTTCAAAATAAAACCAAGTTTAACCATCAAAAGAAAAGAACGAATGCAGAACCAAGAATCTCATTATCTTTTTTTTTCTTCTTCTGAAAAGTCTTTAAAAAAGAGAGAGAGTGTGTGGGTGAGGGGAAAAGTAAGGAGCTGGTCTCTCTTGTGCCCTACTGATGTCACTCCAAACTAGTGTCTCTTACTGGGGCCTCTGACAGCAACAGCACTTTCTGGGCACTGCTGAGGGCCAGGCCAGGAGCACCAGGCCTTGAGTGCCACGTGGGCACTATTCCCACTCTTTCTTGCTTGGTCATCTGCTGCTTTAGAAGCCTTCAGGTCAAAATCCTTGCAAAAAAAATTCTCCAAGATACAATGCAATCTATTTCATTTATTAGAAAGAATTATTAGCAACTTGACTTTATACTAACATAAATTTAATTATTACAGCTAATTCCTGTGCAAAGGGTCATTCATACATCAAAGATGCATGGTGGGGTGGGGGGGCAGAGATGCAGAGAGGAGAGGAACGGGCAGAGACCCACCAACAAGACAGGAGAGCATCCCAGGGTAAGAAGGTAATCCTGGGGGATGGAGAGACAACAAGAAGAATGACCTTAAGCACTAAAAATACTTAATGCACTGGCAAACAGCCTTTCTTCCTCCTCCCTGCTCAAGCCCTACCCACCTCTGCAGGTCAGCTCCTGCTTTAATTCTTTCCAAATCCCTTCCAGAGCTCTCAGCAACCCCTCCCTCCTCTTGACTCTAATGACTTGTTTCAAGGTGACCAAAAAGGTAAGTTTAAAAAAAAAAAAAAAGCATCTGTGATGTCACATTGAGGCAACGATACATTGAAATTTATTTTTAAACTTAGATACTCTCAAGGGAAAACTGATACTAAGTTTCTAAATGAAAATCAGGGTCTGAGAGAACAGCTAGTAGAGATGCTTTGATCTACAATGCTCAAGAATATAAGAAAATGTTTTCTGGATTGATTGCATAAAAGGTAATATAGACTTATACACGCATGTTTTAAAAATAATCAATGAACATACTGGCACATGTTTTGAAAAAAGTTAGTTGAGCATGGTGGAGCACACCTTGAATTCTAGCCCTCTAGGAGGCAGAGAGGCATGTGCAGATGGTTTTCTGTGAATTCTACGCTAGGTTGGTCTACACATAAAACAGAATCTGTAATACATATGGCAACAAAAGACAGCATTAAAAAAAAACACAACATAATCTTCATAGTCTCATTGTAGGCCAAATTTCAACTCTTCTCACAGGTAGAAATCTAAGCAGATGATTTGTAGAACATCATGATAAATATAGGAGAATTATTTCCATATGACGACTGAAGCAGAAATCTGCATTGAATTAAAGAGTATCTACTATGGCAGAAACAAAAACTATAACAGACATATTGTATCAATACATTTCACCTATGTTAAGCTATTGACTGTGAAAACTGAATTACTTCTATCTATGAAATGCCTGCCTTGTTGAATAACTATGAGGAGAAAATTTAGTATGTTATCTACACTCATTTGAGAACCATACATTCCTATGTGTATGTGGGAAACCTTCTAACCATGTAGATGCCTTTCAACAATTACCTTATGATGAAAATACTTAGTTTTTCTCTAAAGTATGGAACAAAAAAAATACAAGCTCAGTTCATTATTTAAATGGCATTGGGGTGGGTGGAGGGATAATTTTAATGTAGGTAAATTCAAGAAACGATCAAGCACTGTTAACTATTTTCAGTCTTAAGAACATTCCTTATGATATGCATGTTTGTGAGCAGTGAAATCAGAGTTACTTGCACTTATTTTAGTTGTTTTATCCCATGTCTCAGATAGTTTAGCCAAAGATAAATGTAATGCAAACATGACTGATGTATAGATACATAGTAAGTGTGTGGTTGCGTGTTTCTGTGTGGTGTGGATGTGGCTGTGCTTGCATGGAGCTTTGTGTGTACATGTATGTAGTGGCAGGTGGTTGCATATTGTGTGGCTGTGTGTGCACAAGTGTTTATGCACATGTGGAAGCCAGAAGTCAACATTGGGGTCATTCTTTAGGAGCCATTCCTCTTGCTCTTTGAGAGTCTCCCTGGCCTGGAGTGTACCGAGCAGGAGTAGGCCAGGTTGGCTGGCCAATGAGGTCCAGAAATCCACTTGTCTCTGTCTCCCCCAGCACTGGGATTACAAGCATTTACCCACATGCCCAACTGTTCACATGGGTTCTGGGAACTGAATGCAAATCTTCATACTTAAAGGGCAAACACTATCAGCTGAACTATCTCCCAGTCCAGAGACTGCTTTGACAGTTCTGGAATTCGCTTTCTAACCTGATGTGTGACATTTCCCCTTGATTCATTTATGGTAATTATTAAGAGAAAGCATACATATATATTCATGGCAAATTAAAAATGTTTAATCCTATGTAAGACTTGGCATTTAGATACTTACTACTATGGAATAAACTACAGTGCAAAGAAAAAAGTTTTTAAAAAATTATATACAAGGACATATATGCTAAACTGTCATCTGATATAATATATAAAATCAAGCTAATTAAAAATACATTTCCTTCATATGAAATAACATTTATTCCCAATACTGTCTTGACGAGAACACTTCTGCTGAGTAAGCAGATGATAGGGCTGCAGTCACATCCCAGCTCTCCTCTGCTATCAAGTCTCTTCAGTAATGGAGTCAAGCTTCAGGAAGTGCTGTGCTAACTGACTGTACAGAGCACAGCCCTCCCGCTTCTCCATGGACTGCTGGGTTGCACAGGGGTCTATTCCACCCCGAGTCTTAACAGAAGGCTCTGCGTCCCTCTCTGCCAGCCACAAGACACTAAATTTGAAATGCTGTTTAAAGCTTCTTTAAAATGGACAAAATGAATAATCCTGTGACTGAAATTGTTTGCAAAAAATAAATAAATAAACCAGTTCTTTTAATAATATAAAATGGGCTTCTATGCCCAGCACAAAGCTGTTAAAAGACACAGTTGAAGTTTTGTGATGAATGAAGTAAGCAGTGTATTATATTTTAAACTTACCACAAGAGCAAAGAACACCATAAAGAAAAATGATAAACTGCTTGTGTAGCCAAGAAAGCCTGTAAAATACCAATAAAATAAAAAGCAATTTATAGGGCAAGTGATCCTAATGCACAAACAGGGCTATGCATTGCGGGCATATTTTCTATTGCAGCTTGGTATCTGGGCCTAGGGCCCGTCTGTCACAGATCATTATGCAGCTCTGCACAGCAGAACAGGACCTGGCTTGCCACTAGCTGTATGCTGCAAGAGAAGGCTGCTCCTTAATGCTCTGGTGTAACGACTCCATTTTAGCGGGGCAGACAAAATGCTACCACAAGCCAAGTAATAAGTTAGCTAGGCAGGGCTGAGGACCGAGCAACTGAAAACAGGCCAAGTTTAAAATGATTTGCAGCCACCACTCTTCTAAAAACAAGGTACTGTGAAGCTTAAAAGCCTCCTGCTCTCTGTTCACTCCCTCTTTTGTCCCCCTCCCCCAGCAAACAAATCCTGTGTTCTTTCACAGACTTACCTATTTTGGGAAGCAGTGAAAGAGGGAACACAATGCCAACGCAGATGATGAGTAGCAGTGTCTGTCCATCAAGATACCAAGACCTGTTAGGAAAAACATCCTGTTAGGCACAGGACATGGGACTCATTCATGTCCATTCTAACACACTAACACACACACACACACACACACACACACACACACACACACACACAGAGAGAGAGAGAGAGAGAGGGGGAGGGAGGGAGAGGGGAGAGGGAGATTGGAGAGGAAGAGGAAGAAGAAGGGAGGGAGAAGGGAAGACAGAAGGGGAGAGGGAGAGGGAGAGAGAGCACACAATCATCCATTAGGAAAACCCTATCTTTTTGTTAAATGATCTTAAAAAAACTTTTATTGTTTGGTTATTTGTTTGTTTGTTTTTAATATGCATTGGTGTTTTGCCTGTGTGTGTGGGGGGGGGGTCAGAGCCCTGGAACTAGAATTACTGGTAGTTTGAGCTGTGCTTGGAATTGAACCTGGGTCCTCTGGAAGAGAAGCCAGTGCTCTTAATCCCTGAGCCGTGTCTCCACCCCCCACTGAAAACCTTTTCTTGCTAGTCATGAATATACATTTAGGAAACAATGTTGATATAAGCCTGTAACATCAGGAGTTGGGAGGCAAAGGCAGAATCAACAGTGTGAGGCTGCTCTGGACTAGAATAGTGAGAGCATGTTTCAAAATAAGACCTAAAGCAAACCAAACACACAAAAATGTCCAATGTCATGCCATTTCAGTTACTAAATTAATGCATACTTTAAAATGAGATAATAATCCACGTTGGTTAAGAGTACTGAGGTATGTCAAACACTGCTCAAAGCTAAAACTGTAATAATTACCTCATGAAAAGCAATTTGGCAAAAGATGCCAAGAGCCTTCATATAATTATGCTCTATACCACTTACAAGATACCATTAAAAATAAAGAAGCACCAGCAATGGTTACAAAGATTTTTATAAAATAATATTTGAGAGCATTAAGAATAATGAAAGTTTAAAAAATACAAAAATAGTGAAAACTGGAAGCAAACAAATACCTAATAATGCAGCTTTGAAAGAATGACCATAATATGTGTGTGTAGTCTAACATTGTTCTGAGAAAAAACACAGGTATTATTAAAAATGGGCATTGTTTCTGGGTGGTAGTCATTTTTTTCTGTTCATACTTTCCCACATTTCTCCAGAAGGGATATTAATTACCAGCTTAAAACACTACGCTTTTCTTTGAAAGATAGTCAACTACTGAATGAGAATGGTTAGTTAGTAGTGTGGTCATGTGCTTGTCAATAAAAAAGAAATGTGGGCCTGGGAGCCAGTCAGCAAATCGCCTGCCTTGGAAGCATGGGGCACTGCATCTGACTCATAGATCCGCCTAAAAAAACGCCTGGGCACCTGGCACAACACCAGGGCATGCATGCTGGGGACGGGGAGGCGGGCTTGCTGGCCAGGCAGATCAGCCTTGTAAGCAAGTGTAAGGATAATGGAAAACCCTGTCTTAAAAAGAGAAAGGAAAGAGGTGGACAGCACCTAAGAGACAACACTCAAAGTTGTTCTCTGACCTCCACACACGTTCATATGTGTGTGTGCATGCACATTCATACCTGTGTGTGTACACATTCATGAACAGACAGGAAAAGAATGAAAGACACATTTCAGTACAGAGAAGGAAAAGTAACACTCTGAATATGTATGTATGTATGTATGATATATATGAAGTCAGAAGGAGATACCTAGAATACAAAAATGGTGATTTCTATATAGTTAGCAATACATGGGGGCGCATATATGACTTTAATTTCTTAATATATCTAAACATTAAAGTTAATTCCCCTAGACCTTAATATGCACACATGTGAAAGACAAACAATTAATATAAGAAATACAACCAGTAAACATATAGGAAGAAAAAATCTAACCATAGCTGCTACTTAAATGTATCTATCCCAAGATTATTGACATTAAATTAGTAAATAGTTAAAGGTGTGATATAATTGGCCCATAGGTGTTACTATGTTATCGTCCAATTAGGACTCTGGAAAAAGAATGGTAATATGCAACAAGGGCAAGGAAAGTGCAGCGGCGATTAATTAAGAAAATCAGCAAAACGTATAAATACAATTGCACCACATTAAGAAAATAAAATCCAGGATAGACCGGGATTGGGAAACATCAAAGATCAGTAGGGATTCCTTTAGCAAGTGCTCGGTAGATGATTTCAGTCTCCCTCTGTGGTAGTCCACCCTCTCACTCTCAACAGGAGGCCAGAGTCCCACTGCCCTGTCAAATGAAGAGTTTGCCCTTGCTGGGTGTAAGACCTGGCTTCTAGCATGCATGGCCTTTACTGTTGAGTGCATATCATTACAGCTCGGCTTGTGAGGACATCCTTTCTGGTATTCCTTCATTCATTTCTGCGGCGCAGTGACAACCTCCTCTTTGGGAGAGCAAGATGAGCAGCAGCAGCAGAAATAAATAGCACCTCGATCATACCTCCCCTGTCCTGCTCGCTCAACTCCCATCCTTCACACTTTCCCCTGTCCTGCTCTCTCTCTCTCTCTCTCTCTCTCTCTCTCTCTCTCTCTCTCTCTCTCTCTCTCTCTCTCTCTCTCTCTCTCTCTCTCTCTCCATCCTGCTTTAACTCCCATCCCTTGCAAACTCACTACCAGAAGCTATAAGAGACGGATGCACAAGTGTTTCTGCTCTGCAGGGTCTGATGCTGTGCTCTATCCACACTTGCACGGGCTCCTCAGAGCCTGGTGTGCAGGGAGTGCTATAAAAGCAACCATGTAATAAACAGGAACTAATACTCAATATGCTCATCTTCTAATCACTCTTGAATAAAAAACCAAGTAGGAACTTCAAAATAGCCTTCACCAAGAAACACCTGGCAACTGAATTCTGGACCTGGCAGCAAGCCCGGGGCTTTGTGTCTGAAATGTCTTTTCTTCTGGGACCTGGTATCAGACCCAGACAGTTGCAGTGCCAGTAGAAAATGGCCCCAAGGGAAGAGCCAGCAGATTCCATCTGTTAGCACTGCTGTTCCTGCTGGAGAACAACACCGCATTGTATACTGAGTATCTGTTAAGAGGGTACAGATCGTGATCGATGTTCTAATCATAAAAACATAAAGCAAAAAATGCTCACAAACCAACCTAACCCTCCTCCCCTTTTTCCAGACAGGGTTTCTCTGTGTAGTCCTGGCTGGCCTTGAACTTGGAGATCCACTTACATCTGCTTCCCAAGTGCTGGATTAAAAGTGTGCGCCACAACCACCTGGCCTAAACTGACTCTTTAGGAGGAAAACAAAACACCAGGAAGGTGGAGAGGACCACAACGTTCTCCTTGCACAGAACTAAAGGAACACTAAAACCCTGAGGTAGGGCTGTGGCCTGAGGATGGAACTGCTGTGTACAACTCTAAGAGTGCAGGACTGACGCGGTCCCCACTGTAGGGTGTGGCAGGACTGACACGGTCCCGACTGTAGGGTGTGGAGGGTCCTGCCTGTAGGGTGTGGAGGGTCCTGCCTGTAGGGTGTGGCAGGACTGACACGGTCCCGCCTGTAGGGTGTGGAGGCATCAGACTGGCAGAGCTCCGGAATGCTTGGGCTGAGGGGGGGGGGGGGCTCAGAGATCACCCTGTTCAGGATCTTTATTTCATGTGTCTGCAAGAGTCATAAAAGGACCACAGGCTTGTGACAGTAGCACTGCAAACACTCCAAGCCTCAGGAGGTACCCTGGGTTTATGGCATTTTTCCAGATGCCCCCTGATCTATTTCAAGGTCACAATTCATTTTCTCTTTAGGACTGAACTTAAAATCTCAATATGAAAGGATTTTATTTAAAAACAAAGTTTCTCTAGGCCTGGAGATTGATTATGAATCGTTTCTTACATTTATTGACTGATGTTAATAAAACCAATCGTTAAGACAGTGATCTCTTTATCATTCACTCATTATCAATAAAGGCCACGAGTTACACACAGTGGAGTGAATGAATTTCACATGCATGTCCCAGACAGGTGCACTGTGTTTGGCCATGGAGATAGTCCAAAGAACAGATGAGATTAAACCTAATCCCACAGAATACAAACCAGCAATCAGCAGTCTTAAAAAGCACACAGTAAATACATTTTATAAATCAAGATTTTAGGAAAATTTACTGCACTAAAATTTTCTTTCTAAGAGGGGAAAGGAATTATCTAACCAAACTCCTGTTTTCCTGCTGTGACCTAAATATACATTCTCTTCAAGCCAAAAGAATTAGAGTAACAAGTTTTATACTTCCTAGAAAACTTGTTTGATCTGTGGATTTAATCCTATATGATAAAAATGCTCCAACTATGAAACACAGAGTATAAATCCTTAGCTGTACTGCAAATGCTTGGCACGCAGATGTTTTTTCCATTTTTAAATGAAAACCAGATTTATTTATAAGTTGCTTTAATTTCATTCTCGAATAGAATGGAACAAGAGTATCGTGTGTTCTCAATTAGGATCTTGCTCACATCCCATATCAATTATGTAACTCAAATGCAAGACAACTTAATTGTGTCAATCATAGTCCCCTGACAAGACCATTAAATGTTAACAGAGAGCTCCCAACTTTTAACAGCTATAGGTTTAAAAAAAAAAGCAAGTTATTCTAGGAAAAATATAGATGTATCCTAAGAGTTTGATATAAGCATTTCTGATCTGGATTTCCAATAGTAACTTTTGAAATTAGAATATGATGAACACACACACACACAAAAAGAAACAACAAAAAGAATATAATGAACACAAAGTGATTTGACAGCATCTTCATAAGTATACATCATGCTCACAGATAATCCGGTAAATAAAGACACCTGGACACCTGAAAGAACTTAACTGAAACTTATGGTAAACCAAACCCTAAAATAAAACATCAATACCACATGATCTCAGTGAAGAAATACTGCCACCCAACACCATCTAGAAATAAACTGCCCTAAAGCAACATTCATTACCACAACATTTGTTTCTGACTCTACAAGGTTAGGCTTTAAAGACTAATGCCCTGTAGCCAATTAATATAGTCGCTTCATAAATGAATAGGTTGCATGTAAACAATACAAGTTACCAAAAATGTGTGATTTTAACATGCTGTGGGTGAAAACTGGCGACAGAATTTGAAGCATGCAGTGATAGAACATTTCTATAAAAGTTTTACTAATACAACTGAAATGAGTTAATTTCGGTTGTTAAAAACAAATGCTAAAACAATATACATGGCATTTGATTTAAAATGAACAATGCTTTAGCAGACAAAATACCTCCGGTTTCTGCTACACAGCACTTTAACTAATTCTAAAGTCACTTAAGGCATGCTAATAGAAGTCACCAAATTCAGGACCAAGCAAAGAATAAACAAAGACAAACTCAGGTGACACATGGCAACTATTAGATTATCTGAGTTCATTTGTGTTTGACTCTGAGCATCCTGGCAATCTGCATAAAAAAGGAAAGTTTACCTTTAATATAATCATTGTCATTAGAATTTCCCTGTTCTCCACATTTACACTGTGCTAGTATATACTTATAAGCATGTACATGTGTGCCCTCTTATTTGATCATCATAGCTCTAATAAGGAAGCAACATAACAAAGGTAAGGTCATTGTTTTATTCTGTTTTTATTTTGTTTTTTTTTTTTTTTTGAGACAGGGTTTCTCTGTGCAACAGTTCTGGCTGTCCTGGAACTTGTTCTGTGGACCAGGCTGGCCTTGACCCCAAAAGATGTGCCTGCCTCTGCCTCCCGAGTGCTGGGATTGAAGGTGTGCACCACCACCACCACCCAATGCCCTCTTTTTTTTTAAAAAATGATTTATTTATTATTTTATATGCTTTTCTGTTTGGCCTGAGTGTTATATCTGTCTATGTGAGGGTAGCAGATCTCCTGGAATTGGAGTTACAGACAGTTATGAACCGCCATGTGGGTGCTGGGAATTGGACCCAGGTCCTCTGGAAAAGCAGTTGGTGCTCTTAACTGCTAAGCCATCTCTCCAATCCTTTCAGAATGCTTGTCTGCCTTTGCTTTTGTCTGGTACTAAGAATTGAACCCAGGGCCTTGAGCATGCTAGGTGAGCAGTTGGGAAGTCATATTCCCAGCCCTCACTGGTATCCTCACAGTATCAGGTAAAGAGACCTACAGCTCATGACAAGTTAGATGGTCAAGAGTTAGTTAGATACTTGAGGCTAACTAGCATAAAATGAACAGGACATATTCATGTTTCCTTTCTACTGTTTATCACATTGCCTTGAATTGTTAGCTTCATGCACAAATTTCTCACTTAGGATTCAAGTAACAAAAGTAGTTCTTACTATTTTTACAGAAAATACACACACACACACACACACACACACAAAAGTATTTCACACAGCTACTTCTTAGAGTGGTTAGCTGTCAAACAGAACATCATCAAAATGCAACCAGATTAAGTTGAGGTAGCAGTGAGCATGCTAGGAAGTGCCATGTGAAGGAACATCATCTGAGGATGAAGACCGTGAAAGACTTTATTACCCTCATTTTAATCACATCTGCACAATTCCTGTTCAGATCAAGAGTAACCATACCTTCCTTACACATATCCATCTGCACTTATCTGCTTCTTTAAGAGAAGCCACCTTTCTAAGCCAAACACGAAAGTTTCCTCTGCATTGCAGGTAAGTTTGGTTACTGGGGAAACCGACCAAACACTCCAGTCCAGAGATAGGGCAGTCCTTTGTGTGGTCTGAAAACTGGGTAGAGCTACTGGACAATTAACAAGCTTAACCCGAGTTAATTTTTATTTTCAAGTTTATTTTTATGAAAAAAAAGGAAGTCCTGCTCCTTGCTCTACATATCAAAAAGAAAAGCATAATTAACTTGGGTCCTTCCCCATAAGAAGAGCTAAACCGATAAAAGTAGGAGTTTCCTTTTAATGGAGAAAGGAAGGGTGCTGTGGCTTCGCATTATTCACAATATTAAGGGAGGCTAAGTGAGACAGGTTCTCACCCACAATTCTTTATGCTGTCTAACATGAGTGTCACATAGCGGATGCAACCATATTATTGTCACAACAACTTGCTGAGAAGTCACAGCAAAGGTGATTCACTGTCCCTTCAACTCAGATATCTTCAGGCTTCCCCCGCTATTCTCCATCTTTCATATCCTGAGATGCTTCTTCACTTTTCTCCAAGAGCTAATTTGGACTTGACTTGGCCTTTACCTTCAAGGAGCACTAGGGCCTGGAGCTAAGGTGGTTGGTAGCACAGTGCTCTGACACAGGGGATTGTCAGTGGACATGTACACAGTGTTTTCTCTATTGATGTTCCACCCCACAAAACCTGTAAGTGTTCTGAGGACAGGCATTACATTTGTTTCCCCTGTCACTAAGGTTTAATAAAAACATAATGAAATGAATGAACGGACAGATGGATAAATGGATATAATGGAACATTTCTTCTTACCCACTGTGGTCTCCAGGCAAAAATTCTGAAATAGCAGCAGGAAGCTCTGTTTTAATAATTAAAAGATACGATGACATAGCTGCAAAAAGAACAAAAGGAATTCCTATTAGAATTTTAACCATTCCAAGGATAATCTATTCAGAAACACAGATGTGCATTGGATCTAGGGCACCATATAGAAGATAACTCACAATGAACTAACACAAACATATACAGCAGAAATGAAGGTAAATGACTCTGTAGAGAAGAACTGGTAAGTTTATGGCACAACCTTTGTTTACATTGCAAATTGAAGATAAGAAAAAAGGGATTTTGTAATAGGTTATTTATAATAAAACTGTTTCCAGTACTCAGGAGGCAGTGGCAGGCGACTCTCTGTGAGTCTGGTGGCAGCCTGGTAAGTTCCAAGACAGCCAGGACCACTCAGTCTTGAAAAACCAAAAACCAACCAAACAAACAAAAACCATGTTAAGTAAGCACAATTAATAACTGATCACTTGTTCTTTTTATTTAACTGGCAAGAAACACCTTCTGCAGAAGCCCAATTCCCTCTTTTTCTTCCTCTCTCTGCTCCATATTACAAGACATAAACAGAAGACACAATAAAGTAAGGTTGTCCTCTGATTCACTGCAGCATGAGGCCTGTGAAGGAGACAGAGCTTCTAATCCTTGCTCCATCTGTGTAAGTCAGAAGCAAAGGTCAGCCGGATGTTGGTAGCACACACCTTTAACCCCAGCACTTCGAAGGCAAAGGCAGGTGGATTTCTGTGAGTTTGAGGCCAGCCTGCTCTACAAATCAAGTTCCAGGACAACAAGAGCTACACAGAGAAACCATGTTTTAGAAAAAACAAAAATAAAACAACAACAAAACAAAACAAAGCCAGCACTGCCACTCAGATTTTATCTGATAACATATGAGAAATAACTAGCTTCTATATCACATAATAAAGACACGATTCCTCATGTAGTCATTAAAACACATGCTGGGATTGAAGACATGCTCAGTGCTTGCCTCCCAGCACTGCTGGGCAGCTCACAACTGCCTGTAACTCCAGCTTCAGGGGATCTGATGCCCTCTTCTGTATTCTACGGGTAACTGGGCTCACACGCACACAAATAATTCTCAAGTCTTCTACTGTAAATATGGTTGTGGAGTAGAAAACTCATTTAGGCAAATCCAGAAGGAGAAGTTGAAATACTCATCTCTATGGAGTTATACCTTCAGTTTAACAGTCTTTTCCCCAGGGATTGATCGAACACACACACACACACACACACACACACACACACACACACACACACACACACACTTTAAAAGAGCCAATGGGAAAAAAAACACCCTTGAAGAATGAAGAGTGTATTCTATGTGCACACTGCTTTTATTACTTATTTATATTTCAGGAAACATTCCACTTTCTCCTTGGACTTATAAAAACTAAGAACAGCACTGAATGCCAAGTCTGAACAATGAAAGTCTGGAGGAAATTGGATGAAAAGGTACACAGTTTAAGAATAGTGTGCATTTCAGTCAAGCTGTTGGGAAGAAGCTGAACTCTGCAGTTACAACACTGTGATGATTTAACTCTGGAGAAGAATGAGACACGTTAGTCTGCAGGAGGAGCAATTACCACATGCACAAACACAGTCAATTTTTATTTTTTGTAAGATAACAGATACCTAAGATAAAGTTAAATTTAGAACAGGTAAGTAACAATCACTTTTCTGCAACGAAAACATGGACCCATACTGTAACCATATCTTGCCTGTGAACCTGTAACCACACCATTTAAGGTAGAAGAGCAGGGGATGGAAGCCCCTTGGGTCGCAGAGTATTGGAGAGGCAGGGTTTGCATCCTTTGAGCATGAATGCTGCCACAATCACTTACTGTTACCTGTGTAAGTTCATCCCCAATAAACACCTATTTATCATTCATTTTGGTTTGGCAAACTCATATAATCCCATGCCTTCACCACATCTTGTAATTTAAGACTTTCTTTTTCTCCGGAAGAAACATGGCTGCTCACCAAGGACCAAGACAGGCCTGTAAAGTCCTTAGCTGTGGCTACTACAAGCAACTGGATGTGGATGTCTTCTACCTTGCTCTGCTCTCTCAGACGAAAAACACCAGCAGCTGAGTACAGGAGGGAGGGAGATCTATGCTAACCTCTTCCACTTTAAGATTTGGAGTTGTCACAGCATTTTGTTTTCCAAAGAGCTACATGCACGTGATATAATGACGAAGAAATAGACTGGAGTTTTCTGAAATTGGCTTAGAAACTACTTAAACATATCTTGAGGGAAGGAGGGGGTAAAAAGACAAAAGTACATTCAAAACAAAGAACATAGACGTAGGATTTGGGACTTTTATTATCTGCTCATCAGTCCTTTTGCTGGGATTAATCTGACACTGTACACATTTCTAAAGTTTCAGACATTCAGCTCTTCCAGTAATTTCCTATTTTTGATCTTTAATTGTAAAAAGGCTACAATGAATGTGAGATTATATTTCTTTCTCATATACAATCTGTCATTCTTTCCAGAATTTCTATTAGCCTCTGGCTAATCACTTGATCACGTCTGTGTTGTAGCCTTCACTCTTTGGTTTTCAAATGGGAGTCTTGTTTCACTAGATTCCAGTCTGAAGAGCCATGTGTACTTAAAGAAATATGAACTCACCAGACATATGTTTCTCTGTTTTTTTAAAAAAAGGCCTCTCAGTATACACGAGTATAATAAAACATGTGAAACACTGCTTCTTCCTTGGAGAATGCTAGATGTTTTAAAAGCTACAAAACCACAGAACCTACCATGGGGAAAACCCCACTGGTTGAGCAAGTAAAACAAAGAAATCTCACTGCTAAAATTACTTTTTCTTAACCACAAATAAATTTTCATGTAGGTACTACCACCTTAACATACGGTATATACTACTGAGAACAAAAGATTACGCTAGATAAACACTGTTAGGAAATACATCTTAATTACAGCCACATCAAAAGATCAAGTCAATAAAGAAAGCTGAGAAAGGTTTTAATAAAAAATAGTATCAGCAGGAAAGCTCATATATCCAAAAGGTCACTAGGTTGAAGAGCTGGTTGCCACGCCTTCTGTCCCATGTCTTCTACTACTGGTATAAGGAAATGCTTAAGACTTATCTTAGAGACAAGTCATAAGCAAGAATTTGTAAATGATTTTAGCTGGCATCTAACCATGCTATAGATTCTGAATACAAGAAACACCATGCTTCTTCCAAATTAATGGCTGTACCCGCATCATCCCTAAGAGCCATGGTTACAGTCAAACAGCTCAGGTCTCTATAACACCAAAGCCAAGATCTGTGCTACAAGATATACCTTGATGACAGTTATCAGTCATTCCATATCATTTAGTTTCACCACATTAGCTGAATAGGTATTCTTTCCCCTTCATTTTAAATGAAACTACCCTGGAAACAAAACAAAATATCCTGCCAACCTAGTCAAGACACAGGAATAGAAAGAACCCTTTAAAAGCCACATGGAAGCCAGGCGGTGGTGGCGCACGCCTTTAATCCCAGCATGCAGGAGGCAGAGGCAGGCGGATCTCTGTGAGTTCTAGGCTGGGCTGGACCGACAGCCTCCAAAACAATACAGAGAAACCCTGTCTTGTAAAACAAAACAAAACAAAACAAAAAGCCATGTGGAAAAGCAACAGGAAATTAGGAAAGAACTGAAACAGGGAAATCTGATCAGGCAACAACAGGGAGTAAGTATCACTACTGCCAGATGGTCGTGGGAGACGTGAGTACTACTTACTGGCCGACAGCCATGAGAGACTACTGATGGTCATAGAAGACATGCATACCACTGCTTGATGGTCAAGGGAGACATGAGTACTAACTACTCATGGTCATGGGAAGACACAAGGACCTACGTGACAGTAATAGGGAGATGTGAGTACTATTGCCTCATGGACAGACATATAACTACTGCCCAACAGCAGCCTGACAGTCATGGGGATACATGAGTATTAACTTCTGCCCAACAGACATAGGGAGATGTGAGTATTAACTTCTGCTCAACAGACATGGGGAGATGTGAGTATTAACTACTGCCCAACAGTCATGGGGAGATGTGAGTATTAACTTCTGCCCAACAGACATGGGGAGATGTGAGTATTAACTTCTGCCCAACAGTCATGGGGAGATGTGAGTATTAACTACTGCCCAACAGTCAAGGGGAGATGTGAGTATTAACTACTGCCCAACAGTCATGGGGAGATGTGAGTATTAACTACTGCCCAACAGTCACGGGGAGATGTGAGTATTAACTTCTGCCCAACAGACATGGGGAGATATGAGTATTTACTACTACCCAACAATCACGGGGAGATGTGAGTATTAACTTCTGCCCAACAGACATGGGGAGATATGAGTATTTACTACTGCCCGACAGTCATGGGGAGATGTGAGTATTGACTACTGCCCGACAGTCATGGGGAGATATGAGTATTGACTACTGCCCGACAGTCATGGGGAGATGTGAGTATTGACTACTGCCCGACAGTCATGGGGAGATGTGAGTATTGGACTGCCCGACAGTCATGGGGAGATGTGAGTATTGACTACTGCCCGACAGTCATGGGGAGATGTGAGTATTGACTACTGCCCGACAGTCATGGGGAGATGTGAGTATTGACTACTGCCCGACAGTCATGGGGAGATATGAGCTGGGACAGAGGCAGAGAGGAGAACGGCTAGGAAGTGAGAACAGCTGCTCACTCTGGGCACAGCACACCTGTTACATGCTTGGCTATATTACAAGTGAAAGGAAATTATTTGGGTATCTAACTTCCATATCAACCTGCCTGGCAGACATGATTTCCCAACAGAAATGGGAACCATGTGTACTAATTTGCTGTGTGGGTGCTGATGCAAACAGCCAGTCTTCCTTGAGAGGCTCACTCTATTAAATGCTAGTCTGCTCTGGACAGGAGAAGCAATCAGCCAAAGCCAAGAGAAATAAGAAAAGTCTATCTACCAAAGGGGCCTCTCCAGAATGAAGAGAACTTTTATTTATTTGCTATCAGCATTTAAGCAA